ATCCATAAGCGTAAAGTGCACGAAATCACCATAATCATTGATTTTGTTATCATGGAATACTTAACAATCTTCAAGTCTCTGAGGAAATCCTCTTTGCCTAGTTGGTCGTCTAATGTTTTCCCCGATTTCAGCTTCAACACATTGCTGTACAGAACCTCTTGCATTCTGAAAATTCAAATTTTCGTTGTTGTAACTGATTACAGGATTCTCGTAATTGGTTACACCTTCTGCTAAATCAGTTCCCGTAGCCTTAGGAATCAGAAAATCACGCCCGTAATCGGTTACGCCATTCTGGTAACCGATTATAGGACCTGTCAAACCAATTTTTCTCTGCTGTCAAAATGCCTCGGTTCGTCGACCACGACATCTCGACTAATCACGATCCTCTTGTTTGCAATATCAAACAACTTATAACCTCCATTAGAATGATAAACGACGAGTAACATCATCTCACTCTTGGTATCCAACTTATTTCGTAGCTGACTCGAAACGTTTCAAAATGCTATTGAACTGAAAACTTTCAAATGACTTAAACTTGATTTAAATCCAAACCATACCTCTTATACATGGGCGGATTCACGTTGGGGCTAGGTGTGGCTATAACCACACCAGTTTTTTCATTTTCTTTTTATATTATAGTATACATTGAGGTTTATGACTAGGATAATTAATTTTTTTAATTATATATAAACACTAAGGCTTATTAAAATAATTAATAAAAAAATATTACTAAGTCACTTTTCTCTCGTAACTCTTTCTTTCAGTTTTCTCAAATGTTTTAAAAATCAGACCAGTTATCAAAATGGTAAGGATATTGAATCAATGGTTCATTGGTCGAATCATTGAGTCACTAATTGAACTGTGTGACTAGTATGACTAAATTGAATTAATACAGATAACCCGGTTAAATAAACGAGTCTCTATAATTTTTTTTATAGATATTAAACCGGTCGAACTGAATGACTCGGTCTCTAAAAAATATCACGACACTTATAAAATTTTAAAATGTCATAATTTCACAAGTTCTTTATTCAAATTCAAGTTCTAAATATATATTCATCACACACAACAAAATATTCAAATAAAATTTGAACAAAGTTAAATTGCAACATAAAATTAATAACAAAATAACGTGTCTAATATATTTAGTTCTAAAGAGAGAAAATTGTTCCAAATAAGTTTTGAACAATGTATACTAATATTTTAATTTTAATTTTTCTTAAAAAATGATTAAACTAGCAATTAATCCACCAGTTTTTGAAAATCGTCGGATCGTCAGTTTTTACCGATTTTGACGGTTCTGACTAGTTTACACCGATTCAATAGCTTGGTTGGTCTAGCAATCATACTAAATTGGTGACATCTCTGATTCTCAATTCAGTCCAGTTTTAAAACACTACTTTTCTCTCTCTCAAGTTGTAACTTCTTTTTCTCGTTATCTCAAACCTCACAATCTCTCATGCTTGCCTCTTTCTCTCATATTTGTTAATCTTTCTTTTTCTTTTTCTAATTTTTTTACTTGGCTTGGTTGCATTTATTTATGGGTGATTGAAAATCAAAGATAAAGGGAGTATTTCAATTTTGTCTTATTCTTTTCTCCTTTTTTAGCTAAACCATAAAACCTCAATTTGTTAAAAAAATCAATTTGCTCAATTTCTCATAAATGATTTTCTTTATAATAAATTGATTTTACCGTTCTCTTTATAGTATGAATAAATTTTTTAAATGGTTTCATTGTTCTCTTTAGTTCATACTTTCTTTTATGTTTAGCCACACCAATATATAATGACTGCTCTCATTGAGTTACCTTATCAAGCTTCTTTGCAGGGGACTTATTCAATAAATAAGCGGCTGTAGAAACGAATTCACCCCATAGCTCCTTCAACAAGACTTTTCCCTTTAACATGCTTCGAACCATGTTCATTATCAAACATTTTTTCCTTTCGGAAACACCATTTTGCTGTGGTGTGTAGGGTGTTATAACCTCATGCACAAACCTCTCTTCATCACAATATATCCCAAAATAATTTGAGATATATTTGCCTCCACCATCCGTTTTGAGAATTTGTAGTTTGTGTTCGCTTTGCCGCTCAACCATGAACTTAAACTTCTTAAACACATATAATATCTCATTCTTTCTCTTGATTAGGTATGTCCATAGCTTTCTACTAAAATCATCTATAAAAGTGACAAAGTACCTATTGCCAACATATGAATCAACTTGCATCAGACCGCACACATCGGAGTACACCACCCCAAGGTAATGATTGGTCCTATGGTCTTTCTCTTGATTAGGTATGTCCATAGCTTTCTACTAAAATCATCTATAAAAGTGACAAAGTACCTATTGCCAACATATGAATCAACTTGCATCAGACCGCACACATCGGAGTACACCACCCCAAGGTAATGATTGGTCCTATGGCCTGCATCCTTGTTGAACTTGTTCTTATGTTGCTTCCCTTGCATACACTCTTCACAAATCTAAGCTGAAATTTTGATCGATGACAATATGGTTATCATACCATCCCTTTGTAACATGCTGAGATCTTAAAAATTGAGATGCCTAAGACGGTAGTGTGACAACCCCTCATATCGACTTGTCGTTTTCATATGTTGCATCACTTTCAACTCTATCTTGAAAGTCATATTAGCAGCCATAGGCATTTTAAGGACCAAACCCTGTTTGCGGCCAAAACGCGGAAAATTTTGTTTTCCATGCGAATTGTGTAATGCTTCTCAAGTAATTGGACAATAATTAAGAGATTAAAATTGATTCCCGAAATGTATAACACATCTTTGATCAAGGAATGACCACCATCCCTTCTCATAATCAAAGCATCACCGACCCGGTCGGCCGCTAAAGTGGTATCATCCGTGAATTTCACCTTATTCTTTGTAGCTTAATTGATTTTGACAAACCAATCCTTTCTACTCGTCATATATGTTGAACAACCAGAATCCAAGTACCACTCATCACTTCCTTAGACTCCAACTCGAACCGTTACCATTACGTTTTGCTCTGAACGCGTTTCTGTAACATTCCCCGAACTGTTGTAGTTGTTGTCCCACAACTTGTAGTTGTTACTGCTGTTGTCTAAAAGCTTATTACTGTCATAATTCTCCTCTGTGGTCATAACCAGAAGCGCGTTTTCAATGTCTAGTAACCTTAGCCTCATCGCTTTGATTTTCCCTTGATTTCAGATTGCAATCTCTTGGGAAATGACCAAGTCTATGACAATTGTAACACTTCACATTACTCTTGTCAATCTTCTTGATATAGTTGCTTTGACCACTACCTTTGGAGCTGCTCTCACCCCTTTGACTTGTTGAAACCTTCGAATTTTATGGATCTTTTCCACCAAAATTCTGAAAATTTCCTTTGTTCTTCGCGGGTCATTTTCCTTTCGACCTCTTGCTCTTATTGTTGAATCGTGCTTGCAAAGAGACCTCCACATTTTCTTTTTTGTTACTCCTTTAATCCATCATTTGCTCATGAGCCTTAAAAGAGCTTCGAAGATCCTCTTTGCTCAATGTTGAAAGATCCTTCGACTCTCTTCATTCACCACTACAATGTTGTCAAATCTTGGTGTCAAAGAGCGCAAGATTTTCGATACAATATTCTGCTCCAAAATAGTTTCTCCATAAGACTTGATTTGATTTACCAAACACGTAATACACTTTACGTAGTCGTTGATTGTCTCTTTCTCTTCCATTTGAACCAATTCAAATTTTCGCTTGTAAGTTTGTAACCTCACCACCTTTTCTTTATTAGCCACTTCATGAGCCTTCTTCAAGATCCCCCGTACTTGCTTTGTCGAATCGCAATCACCAACTTTTTCAAAGTTGTCATTATCGATGCAATAATGGATCAAGAACAATGCCTTGTAGTGATTCTTCTCCTCCTCCTTGTGCAACCTTTTGTGTCTCTGTTGCCTCTACAACTAGGGGAGTAACTCCATTTTTGACTACTTCAAGAACATCCTGATAGCCAAACAACACCTTCATTTGCTTGCACCATTTATCGTAGTTCTTTGAATCAAGGGTTGGAAGATTAGTGGGGACTGGATCGTCAGAGACGGTAGTCATCTTTGCACAGTTGATTGTAGATCAGAATTAGAGCTCTTGATGCCAAATATTAGAATATTCAATTGGATCAATGGAGGTTTTTGTGCTTGTGGAGAAGATAAAATGAGAAGAAAAAAAGACAATTAGAGTGGGAGAGAGTAATTGAAGTTGAGGAGAAAATATTGCATTAACCAAATATTACAACATATGAGAGTATTTATACAAGACAATACAAAATAATTAGAAAACAAAACAACTGAAAAAATAAGCTAAAAAACCTCAAGCTCAGACTCGTAACTAGTTACACCAAATGCTATAATTGATTACGCCAACGATAACCACAAAAGATATAATTGAATTGACTTGCTGTAACCAATTATGTTAAATCCCGTAACCGATTATCAACCTGTAAAATTCAAATTCTACTATTCAGAAGTGTTTTTTTAGTTGTTTTCTTTCAATATGCTTCTAGAAGCTTATATTATACATGAATTATTATGTAGTTCCAATAATTTAGATTTCACAACATATACCATTGTATATACTATATCTAAAATACATTTGAGTAAATGTACCCTTCATCTATAGAAACATTATTCTAAACTATGAAAAGGACATATTGATTTTTTTCAAGTTAGTTCTTATTCTAAACATTATATATACTTAAGTATATATACTGAAATAAGTATTTGCGAATTTTCTGTCTAGGGCTTATAGCAATAATTTATGATATGTCAATGAGTTATTTTAAGCTTATATCTTTAAGTTGTCTATAATAGCTAATAAAAATAACATACAAGTTACATCAAAACGACTTGACTTTATTTTACCTATTATTATTGAAATAACTTAAACATAAGCACATATAAGATACATGTGTATATGTATATTATAAGTGCTTAATAATCTGTTTATTCAAATAGATTTTTAATCTAATTGCTAACATTACAAAGACGATAAGTAGGGATGACAATTAGATGATTGGATCTAGGCACCGTAAGGCCAAACTCTTCTGTCATGTCCAAATCACTTAATAACACATTATTAGGCAATTTCATATCAAAACAATGCACAAGTTGGGCTACTACCAAACGAACCACAGTCATAGCCAAGTTCAATCCAGGACAACCCCTTCTACCAGAACCAAATGGTATGAGATGATAATCACGCCCTTTAACATCTATGTTGCTTCCTTCAAATCTCTCAGGCCAAAATTTCTCTGCGTCGTTCCAAGCATTCGGGTCTCGCATAATTGACCATGCATTCACAATGATCCTTGATTTTTTAGGTATGAAAAACTCTCCAACCATGCAATCTTCTATAGATTGGTGTGGTATTAATAGGGGTCCTGGTGGATGGAGCCTAAAGCTTTCTTTTATAACCATGTCCAAATATTCCAACTTGTCCAAATCTGATTCTTCCACTTTCCTCATCATACCCACTATGGTTTTTAACTCAGTTTGCACCTTTTCCATCACTCTTGGATTCTTTAATATCTCTGAAATTGTCCACTCAATTGTTGTTGCGGTAGTATCCGTTGAAGCTGCTAGCATATCCTATAAATATGAACATGTAACGTAGATTTTCATTATAAATATGAAACCGTGTAACTTGTCGTCTGTTTATCTGCTATTTCTGTAGAATCTTAATCATTTTATATATATAAAAAAGAAAGAAAATTTATCCAAAGAAAAATTATGTCTATAAAGAAAGAAATAACCTTCAATGACAATTAATCTTCTTACCAGCAAAATGGCTTTGATATTAGATCGTTCAATTCGGTATTCAGATTCTTGAACACCAACAAAGCCCAACATAACATCTACAAAATCCGTAGTCTTATCATCTTTATTGCCAAATTGAATATGCTCATCAATTATTTTCTCAAAAAAATCATCAAAGATTTTTCCAACTCCCTTCATACGTTTAGTTAGCCTTTGTAAATCAAGTTTTCCAATGTAAGGAATATAATCACCAATATTGGGAGTACCTGATAATTGCATTCCTTCTTGCATCACAGCCTTAAACCCTTTCTCATTAAAATCCTTATCCATGTACTTTTTTCCCAAAATCATTCTACAATTTATATCAGTTATGAGTGAAGAAATTTTAGCACTTAAGTCAAATTTTGTTCCATCAATGGATTCTTCTCTCAAAAACGTAATCAATAGGTCAAGCTCTTGTTCTCTCACGGGTCTAAAAGAGTTTATTTTTGCATGGCTCAACAATTCTGAAGTGCACATTTTTCTAATGTTGCGCCAATAAATACCATATTCAGCAAAACTCAAACTCTTCTGTTCCCAAAAGATGTGTTTCACTGCCTCACTTTGTGGTCTACTAGCAAAGACAAGATCATGAGTTTTGAGAAAAAGTTCAGCTGCTTGAGGTGAAGAAACAACTATGGTTGGTACTAAACCTAACCTTAAGTGCATGATAGGTCCATATTTTTGGGATAACTGGTGAAGATCACGATGTGGGTTTGGTCCTAATTCGAGAAGGCTGCCTAAAATTGGCAACCCTTTTGGACCTGGTGGAAGTTTATTTGTATTTTTGTTGGTTCCCCATAGCCATATAAAAGCAAGAGAAAGTAGAAAAATTGGTATACAAATCAAAATCATGATAGCTATTTCAGGAGAGTTCTAAATGCTTTGCTAAGAGTTATATTTCTCTAGGTGCTAAGTACCAAGGCTTATATAATCGAAGTAATGAAAGCAACTTTTGCATTAACAAAAAAAACTTGCTTTGAATTTATATAAAATATGATATATTTATATTTTGATGACAATATTCACTTGACTTTTTCATTTTTTTTCTGCCGTTTGCATGTGTATTATAGAACTATATTACATAACATATAATTATATTTTATAGATTTTTGAAACAGAAATATTTTAAATTTTGCCAATTTCTCAATCTGAAACATTCTACCACAAATATTCATTGATTACACCAAATAGAAATCTAAAATGACACACACTTTATAATTTTACATTAAAACTAAAACAAATGATTAACCAACATTTACTTTCTAGTTTTTCCATATCCCCTCTTCATGATCACGACAAATAAGATGTTAACATCCGAATTATTTTCTTCAAATGATTGACGTATATGTGTTGCTAAACAAGGCGTCTCATAGTTAAAATCTTGATTTTTATCAGTACTATCGAGAAGATGTGTTTCTTGAAGAATAATTGACCATCTAGTGTTAGAAGGCAATGACATAAAAAACTTATTTTGCTCTTATAAGTTTCCTTTCGAATATCAATCAGTGTGAATTCTAATTCGTCGGTTCCTACACCAGTGTTACTGTCAATCTACTTGCACTTAAATAAAAACACTTTATAAAAAATATAGTCGATCTCCAAAATCTCCTCAATGACCCTAAAGTATGCTCTAGATTCTAGTACATGATTGTTATCTTTGAAACTAGAAAAGTACATGGATTCAACCTCAGCCATAATCCCACTATTTTGCATGGTGCTACGATCATCTTTTGATTTTGTATAGAGTGACTATTTACTAATATCGTATGGACTCCAAGCAATTACGTTAAAATTAGGCATACAGTGACAACCATTTGCAAGGATCAAATGCACTACTCTCTTTAGAAATAGTTTCATTAAACTAAGTTATGAATGTTTTGTTATGCTCTGTCAACAACCATTTTTCATTCATTCGAGGGAATTTTTCCTTTATAAGACTTTTGTGAGCGGTCAAGTAAGGTTAAACTTCACTAAGGTTATTCAATATATAGAAGTGTGTTTGAAGAACTACTCCTCGATGAAATGTCTTAACATTTAAACCTTGAATACATCTACCATCATAACATCTATCATGACGAGACTTAGGAATTTCTATAAAGTTTGCTTCTGACAAATAGTTTGTACAAAACTCAATAGCTTCTTTTGTGATGTACCTTTCTACGATCGAAGCTTCTGGATGGTGATGATTCTTTGTATACCATTTAAAAATCTTTATGTAACGCTCTATCGGATACATCCACCGTAAATAAACTGGACCATAAATTCTAATCTCCATTACTAGATGCACAACTAAGTGAAACACAATATCAAAGAATGATAGAGGAAAAAACATCTCTAATAGGCGCAAGATAATTGCAGCTTCGTGTTTCAAGTCATCTAAAATTTCAAGATCAATAATTTTACTGCATATAGCATTGAAGAATAAGCACAATCTAGTTATAGTTATCCTTACATTTCTTGGTAAAATGCCATAGATAACTACTAATAAGAGTTGTTGCATTAAGACATGACAATCATGAGATTTTAAGCCAACTAATTTGTGATCGTTCTCTGACACAAGTTTCTTCACAATTGATGAGTACCATTGGAGAACTTTGATACCGTGCAAACAATTGTAAAAACTTTATTTTTTATTTTTTAGACACAATGTGACATGATGGGGACAAATGGATTCTATTTCCTACTTTTTTGGGACTAACTCTTGCCGTAAACCCATCACAACCATATCTTCACGGGGTTTCTAAGTATCTTTTGTATAACTTTTAATGTTGAGAAGTGTTCTAATCAAACTATCACATACATTTTTGTCCACATGCATCACATCAAGATAATATCTAACATAAAGACTAGACCAGTATGGAAGATCAAAGAATACCGATCTCTTTTTGGTAATATTTTTATGTATGGCCTTTTTTTGTTTCTTTCCAAAGACAACATTAATGTGTTGTTGTCTTTTATAAACTTCCTTCCCATTTAAGGGCTTTAGAGAGATATCAAACTTCTGCTCTCTATTAAAAGCCTTTTGCAATCTACGATATGGATGATTAGGTCTTAGAAATTTTTGATTCCCCACATAAATGGTCTTTTTCCTTTTTGTAATTGGTGGTGACATGTACCAACTTCACATATAATACACACTTTATGTCCTTTGACGTTGTACCTAGACAAATTACCGTATGTAGGAAAGCCATTAATTATGAAAAACAACATGGCACACAACTTAAAGTTATCATATTTATATGCATAATCAACATCAACAACTTCCTCTTGCAAAAGTATTAAATCTTAAATCAATGAAATTAAATAAACATTTATGTCATTCCCTGGTTGTTTTGGACCCGAAATCATCATCGATATGATCATATACTCGCGCTTCATGCACAACCATGGAGATAGATTATAAATTATGAGAAATATAGGCCAGGACATACGGTTAGTACTCAAATTACCAAAAGGGTTGATTCCGCCGGTGGAAAGTCCAGGCTAAGGTTCCACAGATCAAGAGAAAATTCTAGAAACAAGGAATCAGTTTTCTTCCACTGCACTGAATCAGCCACATGGCAAATTTTTCCATCACACACACTTTCATTTGCATGTCATCTAGTTTTCTTTGTGTCACTAAAATTAGCAAACAATCTCTTGAACATTCGAATTATCGGTAGGTACCACATCATATTGGCAGGAACACCCTTGCTAGTAACATTGTCATCGTCATTAACACCATTGTCCTTCTGCTTGCAGCGTGACTCCCCACACCTCAGAAACTCCTTCAAGTTTTCAAAATATTTCCTATATAAGATTCAATCACTACGACATTCATGTATTTTGACACGGTTTGATAACCTGTTACCTTCAGGAAGCATTTCTTTCAACAATTCAAGCAATTCAGTGAAACTTTTATCACTCCACCCACCTTTTGCCTTAAGATTAAATAGTATTAACACAACTAACAATCTTGTAAAACTTTTACATCTCAGATACAATGAATCTTCCATGTCTCTTTGCAAAGTATCTAACACATTAGATTTCTTGAAAGCATCTACTCCAATATCATGAATCATGTCTTCTAGAGTATCATTCATAAATTCTTCATCTCCATCTTCAAATGTATGTGATAAAGGTCTTTTTTTTGTAATTTCACCATGTCATACCCATTTGTGTAATTTTGAATGATTTCATCACAACTACAATGATTGAGTATAACATCTATCTGATGTCTTTTCATATTATAACATTTTTTACAAGGACCCTAAAAATCCCATTATTGTCATAAAGGTTTTCTTCCACGAAATGAAGAAATTGTATCACTCCAATCTCATACTCTTTACTTAATCTATTGGCTTTCATCCAACTATGATCCATAATAATATAAAGCTTTTGAAAATAAAATAAAAATAGTACACGATCAATAAAAGTGAACACTCAATCTCAATAACCGTAATAATAACAACAACAATGACGATGGCAACAACCTCAACGAAAGAAACAACAACAACAACAATAAGAACAACACTAATGGAGACTAACAATAATAGTAGTGGACAAAAACAACAAGAACAACAACAACAATAATAAAATACTAGAGAATAATTATGAGAGGTTTTTTTTGTTCGATAGGGCTTTCGTCCTCCTTGGAGAATAACGGTGAGAGAGTTCTTTCGTTAGCTGGAGAAGTGTTATTTTGCTAGGGCTCGAAAAGTGAATGAGGAAGACACCGAGGGAATAAAAAAAATATAAAGAGTATTTATCGTAGTTTTACTGAAAACCGGGGTAACATATCTGACATAAAATCTATAAAAAATAAAGGCGCCTTTTTGGTTCCAAAAAGAATAAAAAATTAGAGAGTTTTTATCTTGATTTTATAGAAAAATGAGGTAACATTTCCAATGTAAAATCTATAAAAAATAAAGGTGCCTTTTTGTTTCTAAATAAAACACAAAACTGTAGGAGCTGGAAATTTAATCTCAAACCCTGAGCATATATTTTTGTCAATTTTTGTTAAAACTGAGGTAACAGGTTAATTTTTTGAAAATAAAACAAGGCGCTCGCATTATATATACTTTGAGTTTTTTATTGATCGTGGTGAAAGCTTCATCATAAAAAGTGTTGTTTGTTATAATGCAACAACTGATGCAAGCTTGTCCAAATGAATAATCCCTTGAAAATAAAACAAAGATGACAAAGTAGTGTATGTTCTCTTTCTTTATAGAAATGAGAGCAGTGCTCATTGAGTAGTGAATAGTGTGTATGACTTAAAGTCTTTCTCATCCCCTTAACGAGTGATGTATTTATAAATATATCTAAGATCTAGTGTTTCCTCACTAGACGTGGTATTAACCATCCCCTTCTTACTAGGGGTGGTTATTGGGCATTTATCTTCAAGGAGTCAGTGAGGACTCTCTCTTGTTTGACTCCAACGTTCATGAAACCTCTCGGGTGAATCCCTTAGATTATATTTAGGTGTCCCAACTTCTAGGCAAGGGTACCTTAGTCTAGAATTTTATAAAATATAACACTACAACAATTCCTTAAGCACGAGGACTTTTCTTTAAAGGGTGAAGTGTTTAAAACTACTATCCCCTTCGGAATATGCCGTTCACCCTATGAATGATTCCCTTGATTGATAACAGTATCATTGGGTAGTGGCACTTCCTCCTCATAGGCGAGCCCTTCAACGAATGGAAAGTGAAATGGCAGGGTAGACCTTCAGCGAAAGGCATATGAGATAACAGGCGAGTCATTATTCCCGCTCGATGAGTCAGCGTTCATGTATCTCTTATTTATTTAAGTTATGTTACCTGAGACATCAATCAATCACACTACTCACGTGCTTCTCTTAATTTAATGTAGGC